GCAATATAACATAAATACACATAAAGACTCTGAGAAACTGCATGTGTTCTGAACCTTATATACACATAAAAACTCTCTGAATTGTACCTGCATACTGTTCCAAGACTGTAGGCATCACTACATGTATGCATACTATATACCACATGTTCTAAGGAGTGTGTATCAGATAGCTAGTATTTTATTCTCTCAGATCATATATATTTTATATAACAAGCAAATAATTCCTCGCAAAAGAAATAGTCATCATACATATATGCATGCCTGTTCTACAATTGTTTGATGGAGATCGAAGCATACAGTTGTAATGTATTAGGGCTACTACTCATTCACATGGAAGGAAGCCGACAAGGTACTATCAATGCTGTACAGAAGTGATCAAGGAGACTAGCAGAAGATCGACATGGACATGGTGCATCTATTGATTAGCTAGAAGAACAGCTACAGAGAAGAACACAAATACAAGAACGAGATGGGGGTAGAAGAATGTGAGTGGACAATATCTGAATGGATTCTTGCCGAAGAGGATTTGATCGTCGGGGGCATGGATTTTCTCATCCTCGCGTGGATACCCTCCTCGCCGCCAACAGCTCGGGGACGCCGCCGCGACCCACAAGGAACCCTCGGCGAGGCAGAGCACATCACTGGACACCGGGTTCGATTGTGCTGTAGCACTAATCCCATGATTCTGCATCACACGACATGCTAGATCTATTGATTCACGCAAGCATGTACCTGGAGATCGATTCGCTAGCCTTTTGGAATGTTCGCACAAGAATCGAAAAATACAGGCGAGATGGGACTCGAAGAAGGCGGATTGAGGATACCTCGATTCAAACTTCTTCGTCGCGGATTTGTTAGTGGTGGCCTTGATTCGTTCTTTGTCCCGTTGATTCACTCCGCGCCGGTCTATGATTTGCTCGGCGCCACCGCCACCAGGGAAAAATCGGCGCCGCCGAGTCGAGGGAGCGGAGGGGCGACCGAGCGTGAGACGTGACCGATAGTTGTCGTGTTATTTTCCAGACCCCCTCACACGATTGTTTTTTTACACTGGTTTTGGCCAAATACAGGTGTAAAATTAATAGATTCACAACTCATCCAAACAGCAGTTTTCGAATCAGCTTGTAAAAATTTTCAGACCTGTAATTTACACAGGTTTTGAGCTTAAAACTAGCCCTCCAAACAGGCCCTAAGTTTTACAGAAAGCTTTAAGTTACAAAGTATGCGGGGAGGTGCTTCGCCCTGTTGTATAGAACGCCTCTGAACTGCATTACATTTCATTCCTCGACGTGTGTTCTCAGAATGTGGTTCATCATGAAAGCAGTCAGATGAAATATCTTTAGACTTACAAGAAAGGTGCTCGGCCTCCAGACATTGCAGTTAAACCTGCACATGCAAATCCAAGCGGTTGGCGTATGTCTTTTAATTAAAAAAAATAACTGCTTTATAATGAATGTTTTGTTGAACATCAGTCATGGTAAACATTTAGCGCGATCATGGTATACATTTATAGAGGCTTTTTCAGTGATTTCATTGTGAACATCTGGCTGTTCAATGCTCAAATAATCGTGTTTTGTGTGTACACTCAAACTCTGGCGCGTGCTTCTGCGCCCTACATGCTCGTGCCAGTGTGACTGTGTTGTCTATCTATATAGCCCAATGGGCCAAAGCGTGCAGAAACAATAATGAAGATTCAACAGCTATGGTATCACTTAAGATTCCTCGTCAAGAACCTACGCTAAACTCTTCGGCATGATCAGATCACATGATCTGTTGGAAGATTATCAGAGCAATTTAGAAGTCGGGATGCTATGTAGGGACGCCGGGTCTCGTGGGCGGGCGGCGCGGCGGCAGCAGTGGCCAGCCGGAGCTGTGGCTGATGGGGCGGTGGGGGAGGAAGACGAAGAAGATGAGGAGGAGAGGACAGGTCGTAGTGGGACTGCATTAGGTAGCTTCCGGTTTCCACAATGCCCTGGTGAGAAAGATGGGTGCTTGTTTCCACAAAGCCCCAGAGAGAAAGAGCCATGGGGAGAAAAAGGGTGCTTGTTTCCACAAAGCCCGAAGAGAAAGAGGGGGTGCATTGCAATTGCAAGCCCTCGTAAGGAGGGATTTTAAATGTTTTGCGCTTTGCCGCGGCATGCGACGAGGAGAGGCATGAACATATTTGGGCTCAAGACTTTAGGAACAACTTCTCTCTGACTCGATTTGTGCTAAAACTGATTATTTTTCCACTTGCTATCCTCTATGAAAATTTGCACCTACACCTGGTGCCTTTTGTAGTTGGTTGTTCATTTGTGCAATTGTGCTAGGCTGCTTCCTTGGAGAACGAAATAATAACACATCTAATCATAAATAAATCTTGGCTAAACCTGTGTGATCGCTAAGAGATCAAGCCACTAACAGCTCACGCCCACGCGTTACAGGGCCTTACTCTGTTGCTCACTTGAGCGCAGAGGCAACCAAATCTTATCTTTACTTTCTCCGTTCTAAATTATAAATCATAAATTATAAGTTGTTTTAACTTTTTTTTATATATCCGTTTTGCTATGCATCTAGATATAATGAATGTCTAGATATATAGCAAATTCTATGTATCAAAAAAGTCAAAGCGACTTATAATTTAGAACGGATGCGAGTATATTTGCTATAGTCGTAACACTGACAATTTTCACACAAATTTGTTGACATATAAGCTTCAAGACACCAATGATATTATGAGTTAGAAATAAAACAAAATTGCAAATCAAGCATCATGGAGAAGCTAAAAATATGTGGCTTCTACTAGCTTCCTCACCTTCCCTATCTCCTCAAAGCCAAAGTAAATTATTTTACCTAGAAGTCTGGAACTAGCTACTCGACCAGATTTCAACTTCTCTACGAGCGTGTTTGTTTGCCTGATCGTGGGCCACAACCTGGATATGCACCCGACGTGGCTGGACTGCACCCGGACGTGTTTATTTTCGTTTCTCGTGGGCTCAGCCACGCGCTGACTCGCTCCGGCCATTTTGAGCATTTTGGGCAAGATGTAGTTCCCCAACTCATATGTTGCATGGACCTCATATAAACCATGCAAACAAACATAATCTCCTACGAACCTAGTTTACCTGGGCCACTGCAAACAACACAACAGGTTTCAGCTCGTAGACCGGCCTTCTCCTATCTTGACTGGGCTTGTTTGAACGAGCCATCCAGGCAAACAAACATGTCCTACTCGTAAAAAAACTTCTGCTTCGGCTCTATCAAAGAAGTAAGAGCCATAGCCATTTCTGAAGAAGCGAGAGCCAAGTGCCAAAATCAAGTACGGAGTGTTTCAAATATATAAGCATGTTCGTTTGGCTGTGGTTTGTCGTAAACGATCATAAATTTCTAGCCGAAACAGTATTTTCCTCTACATCTTCACGAACCAGCAACGAAACAAACCAGCCAACTGCCTATTAGACTCTCAAACCAAACAATGTTTGCTATAAGCTAGTTCATGCATCAATTAAATACCTACTATTTATTTATGTAGTGCTATGCATAAAAGTTTTTGGAAAAAATATGAAATTTGGTACATCTATATTTGAGATTGATAGACATCCACAAAACATAAAAGTTTAAAGTCACTTTAGTTTAACTAAAAAATTGATAAGTTGCTGGTACCAAGTCTTAACTTAATTTTCTTCATGGATTTATATATAACATGAAGCATAGGTGTACCAAGTTTTATTCTTTTGGAAAACTATATAATATCTATAGATTTAGATAATTTAATATTTCCAATGTTTTGTGTGTACTCGGTAGATTTGCCTGCTCGCCTAGCCTTATCTGCATATGGGCATTGGCGGAGGGCAGTGGGGGCGAACCTGGGCTATGCCCCCCCTAGATTCATGTCCTCCTGATGCATAAGTTTTCTCCCATTGCAAAACTAGAAGATAGAATGCAGATTATGTTTGTTCGTGTCCTGAGAGAGATCAATGCTAGCAGCCAACACTGCTAGAGCAAATGGCAGGCAGCAATACCAACCGGAATCAACTACTAATTAGCCCCCCTTGATCTACTTGCATGCTACGGCACTGTACATGTGCAAGCTTTGCTTTGCCTGGTCAGGTGAGCCAATTTGGCTCTCCTGCTTTAGCAAGGATGATCTTGCTCGCACAGATACAACAACCAAACAAGTTAGCTGCTCAACATTTTTAGCTCAGCATGAGTAGTAACGAGCAAACAAAGGCCCTGTTCGTTTCGCTAAAAAAACAAACTGAAACTGTTCCAGCTGATTTGTTGTGAGAGAAAAACACTGTTTTAGTTAAAAAAACAAGATAAAAAAAACGGATTATAAAAAAAATGAACAGGGCCAAGTACGCCTTTTATACCTTCGCATGTAGTTTACAGGAGGAAGAAGATACTTGAGCCTTGTTTAGTTATTCCTAAAGTTTACTCCCTATCATGTTTGACACATGCATAGAGTATTAAATATAGATTAAAAAATAACTAATTGTATAGTTTATGATTAATTTACGGGATAAATTTTTAAGCCTAATTAGTTCATAATTTAATAACGTAATGCTACAGTACACATGCGCTAATAATAGATTAATTAGGCTTATTAAATTTATCTCACGAATTACTGATGAATTCTGTAATTTGTTTTTTATTAGTGTCCAAATATCCCATACAATATTCGATATTCGATATGACATCTCAAAACTTTACTACCTAAATTTAAACAAGGCCTCGTTTCTATTTCTTTCATGGGGTGATTCGCATGACTCAAAGTTCTTGACAAGAAAGATATGAGATCCCCTTTTTCCTTAAGAAAAACAAGAAATCAACTCCATTAAAAAAACCAAATTATATATACCAAGAATAAAAAGGAGAAAATATCTTATCTCATCTCTCTCCCCGCCCTCCCAGGAGTCCCAGCTCGAGACAGCCACAGCCAGGAGCTCCGCCTCCACGCTGCAGCTTCTCCACGTGACCTCACACATTCACAGTGCCTCGCTGCCCCGCAGCTTCAGCCTCTCATGTCTCTCCTCACCTCCCCCACGCCGTTCGGCGCGGCCGCCATCCGCCGCCGCGTCGCCCCGCTTCCTCTCCTCCCTGGAGGCGGTCGCGCCGCGCTGCACGTGGCCCTCGCGCGCCGCGGCGGGGTCTCGTCCCGCACGCAGCGGCGCCTCGAGGAACGCGGAGGCAAGAAGCGCCGCGGCGGGGTCGCGGCGCCCGACGTGGACGAGGACGCCGCGGAGGCGGGGGCGGCGGAGTGGGAAGGGGAGCCGCTGGGGTTCGAGGTGTCGACGGAGCCCATGCCGCAGCTGCCGGACCCGGAGACGCCCGACTTCTGGGAGGGACCTCAGTGGGAGGCCCTCGGCTTCTTCGTGCAGTACATGTGGGCGTTCGGCGTCGTCTTCGGCGTGAGTGCCTCCTTCTCTCCATTATCCTGCACCACTAGCTGGGTGTTCAGTAGTGGAAGCATAAATCTTTTTCCCCGCAAGATATCGCGCTATTTGGACACGTCCATGACTTCATTATCTCTACGTAGAACTGCCCTGCATATAGAAACTATAATAATTAGACACCATGAACCAATTGCATTCTAAAGTTTTAAACGTTAGCGGAGCACTTTTGACTAGAAAATTGAGTATTGCAGTATAATAGTGTGCGTTTGTCTTCAGCTTGGTGTGTAACTTCACGCACAACAGAATCCCTTTGAAGTGCCAGACAACTATTCTTTCGTTTCACCAGCTGTCCACTCCTGAGTATTTGCAGTACCCTGACTAAATGAGTTCCTTTCCGGTGGCTATAGGCTGGGAAAGAATGTGTTACCGAAAACATTCATGAAGTTGTGCATTGAATTAGACAATCCTGATTTTTGGTAATTAGCTGCAGCCATACATCCTTGCTGAAGCCTGAACTTGATTGTCATGGAAACTGCCAGTGATTTCCAAAACAAACTGAACAATTTACACAATTCCTTGACTAATATTCACACCTTTTGCGAGTTCTCACTTGCCGATTAATGTTGCTTGCTTGTGCAGCTCATTGCTTGTGGTGTCGCTGTGGCTACCTACAACGATGGGGCAACAGATTTCAGAGACACGCCTGCTTACAAGGAATCCCAATCACAGGAGTTCCCTGAGGAGTCAGAATCATCAAGCGCTGATGTGTTTGAAGGCAATCCAACTGAGGTAGCGCCAGCTCTTGAGTAGGAGGCACGGGGGAGAAGACTTGTCTCTCTATTCAGGCTATTATAGCCTATAGGGCTTTGCGTTTGCAATAGGCAATAAGACATGTAAAAGGCTTGGTTCAAATCTTGATGCTAAGAAAACTGTCTGGTTAATATTGTGTACTGAATTTCCCCTTAGAATCAAATATAGATGGCTAGTGGTGATAGGATTCAACTGTACTTATACCCAAAAGTAGGGAAACGAAAGAGAGCAAGCATTGCTGTCTTCCCTGTATTTTGCATTCATCCTGCCTCTACGATGGCTTTTCTGGCACATAATCCAAGGGAAATGTATAATTCCTAATTCAAATATTTTTTCACAAATTACATTCTGTATCGGCACAATCTATAATTCAAAGGAACATGTGGCATTATCAGATTCTGTTTTTTTTTTAGTGTTCTAGGCTGCGGCTGGAGCTCAGTTCTTTTCAAAGTCTCAGAATGCATTATCGGATTCAGTTTTTTTTAGAGTTCTAGGGGGCGGCTGGAGCTCAGTTCAGCTTCAAACTCTCAGAATGCATTATCAGATTCAGTTTGGATGATCTTTTACCTATAACGGCATTTGCTCACCCAACTACTGCTATAGAATGGCCTGTAACTTCTGAATCGTCTGGCATGTAGTTTGTGCTTTATTGCACATCATCTTTGTATATCTCAACAGCTAGTGAGCACCCAAGAGTTACCCAAAGGGGAGGCACTGCTGTATACAGAGCTAAAAGCTTGGCTGAGTTGGCTCAACCGCTGAAGGCCCAACCAACCCAGTACCCACGGGACGAGCACCGGAGCACACAAAAGAGCCATTGCCTGAACAGAATTCCCAGGCAGACGGGGAACCATCGTTAAAAAGTGAAAATGTACGCGTTAGTCATTACACGCTGCTGTTCTTGAGCAATGCAATAACTTTCATGATCCGAGACAAAAAAGAGTACGAGGCCGGCCTGGCGGCCGCTTTGCAGAGCTCGCTCACACGATCCATGGCGCTGGTGGTTGCGCACGAGAAAGCTACACGGTGGCCGTCCGTACGTCCCCTACATATTCTTGCTGCCCGCTTGCCATTCCCCGGCAACTGAAAGACGCGTACGCATCCATTAGGCTGGTGACAACCAATGGCTGCGTACGCGGTGATCGCGGTGGAGGCGGCGGCGCAGCTGGTGACCCTGCTGGCGCCTCTGCTCGTCGTGGCGCTCGTCGCCGCGGTGATCGCGTCGGCGTGGGCGGATGGGGGCATGCGCGGGGCCGAGGCGCAGGTGGACGCGCAGGCCGGGGAGTGGGCGCGCTACGTGTTCGGCGCGGAGGCCGCCGCGCCGCGCCCACTCCCGGTGGCGTCCCAAGGGGAGCACGGCTGAGCTATATAACGGTAAACTGGCGCGTACATCACAGTTTTTTTTTTCTCGCTGATTTTTTTTTTGGCGTGTTCCAGACTTCCAGATGGATGGACGCATGCAATCCATCTCGTCTACAGTCTACACGGATCAGATATTATAGATCCAAGGTCGTTGCAAGTGTCATTCTATAGATTTCTAGTGTACTAGGGTGCTAATGCCTAATGTATGTACCATTAGATTCATGTATATCTGAAAAACGGAAATGTAATTTACTACCATGGCCTTCACTTTACGGAGAGAAGTTATTTACAACGCATCATTGATTCCCCCCGAACACCCAGAAAACTCTACGACGCGCCAGCCGGAATGCTCTACATGGATCACCTCGCGAACGCGAACACTCTACAGCTCGTTCACGTCATCCTCGTCCGCGGCGCTGGCCGACCCAGCCGACTTCTCGTACACCTGCTTGATAACTGGGCCGCACACCTCCTCCACCTCCCTGAGCTTCTCCTCGTAGTCCTCCTTCTCCGCCGTTCGTCCCGCGGCGCCGTCCTGCTCCTCCAGCCACTCCAGCGCCTCCGCCAGGGCGGCCTCCATCCGCTCCCGGTCCTCCTTGCCGATCTTCCCCGCCATGCCGCCGGCGTCCCGCACCGTGGCGCGGACGCGGTACACGTAGTTCTCCAGACGGTTCCGCGCGTCGACGCGCTCCCGGACGCGGCGGTCCTCCTCCGCGAACTCCTCGGCCTCGCGCACCATCCGGTCGATCTCCTCCTGGCTGAGCCGGCCTTTGTCGTTGGTGATGGTGATCGACTTGGACCGCCCGCCGGCCTTGTCCGCCGCGGTCACGTGGAGGATGCCGTTCTCGTCCACCTCAAAGGTCACCTCGATCTGCGGCACGCCGCGGGGCGCCGGCGGGATGCCCGTCAGGTCGAACCGCCCCAGCTCGCGGCAGTCCTTGGTCAGGCTCCGCTCGCCCTCGAACACCTTGATCGAGACGGTCGTCTGGTGGTCCTCGTAGGTCGTGAACACCTGCGACTTCTTCACCGGGATCCTCGTGTTCCGCGGGATCAGCTTCGTCATCACGCCGCCGGCCGTCTCAATCCCCAGCGTCAGCGGCGTCACGTCGAGCAGCAAGATGTCTGGCCATCAGTCCAAGAACAACGAGAGAATGGCTTGTCAGCGTCGAAGCATTACATCACCACAAATTGATTACACACAAAAGCAAGTGAAAGCACTATTACCTTTGGTCTCGGCGCCTCCCTCGCCGCTGATGATGCTGCCCTGGACGGCGGCTCCATAGGCCACGGCCTCGTCGGGGTTGATCCCCTTGTTGGGCTCCTTGCCGTCGAACATCTCCGTAAGGAGCTCCTGCACCTTTGGGATCCTGGTGCTGCCGCCAACGAGTACAATCTCGTCGATGTCGGACTTCTTGAGCTTGGCGTCGGCGATGGCCTTCTTGACGGGCCCCAGCGTCTTCTTGAACAGGTCCATGTTGAGCTCCTCGAACTTGGCCCTCGTCAGCTGCTCCGAGAAGTCGACGCCGTCAAACAGGGACTCGATCTCGACGCGCACCTGGTGCTGGTTGCTGAGCGCGCGCTTGGCACGCTCGCACTCGCGCCGCAGCTTGCCCAGCGCGCGGCCGTCCTTGCTGATGTCCTTCCCGTGCTTCCGCTTGATGAGGCGGATGAAGTGGTCCATGACTCGTTGGTCGAAGTCCTCGCCGCCGAGGTGCGTGTCGCCGCTGGTGGCGAGCACCTCGAAGACGCCGTGGTCGAGGCTGAGCACGCTGACGTCGAAGGTGCCGCCGCCGAGGTCGTACACGAGCACGTTCATCTCCGCGCCCTTGTTGTCCAGCCCGTGCGCGATCGCCGCCGCCGTGGGCTCGTTGATGATCCGCGGCACGTTGAGCCCCGCGATGGTGCCGGCGTCCTTGGTCGCCTGCCGCTGCGCGTCGTTGAAGTAGGCCGGCACAGTGACGACGGCGTCCGTGACGCGCTGGCCGAGGTAGGACTCGGCCGTCTCCCGCATCTTGGACAGGATCATGGCGCTGATCTCCTCGGGGCTGAACGTCTTCTTCTCGCCGCCCTTCATCGGCACCTCCACGTACGGCTTGCCGCCCTTGTTCACCACCTTGTAGGGGAGGTACTTGACGTCCCGCTGCACCTCCTCGTCGTCGAACCTCCGGCCGATGAGGCGCTTGATGTCGAAGATGGTGCGCTGCGGGTTGAGCGGCGCCTGGTTCTTGGCGGCCTCGCCGACGAGGCGCTCGTCGTCTGTGAATGCCACCCACGACGGCGTGATCCGGTTGCCCTGGTCGTTGGCGACGATGTCCACGTGCCCGTTCCGGTACACCCCGACGCACGAGTACGTGGTGCCCAGGTCGATGCCGATCACCGGCCCCGACGCCGCTTTCCCCATCTTCCCCTTCCGTGCCTCCGCGCCATCAGCCACCCCGCACAAGTACCCTGAGCAAACACAAGAGAGCAGAACGAGAGCTAGAATAGTTGGCTTTGTCCTCGTCGCCGTCATCACCGGATGAGGTTCGGATGTTCAATTCGTCTCGTCACTTGCGAGCTGTGCCTTGGTTGATTGATTCTTCTGTGATCCTGCAACGGCAGGCGCTGGAATTATATAGGTTCTGGGCTTCTGGCCGTGGCCGCGATGAGCGTGGTAGTCGCCAGAGTGTTCTGGCCCGTGCCGGACCTCCACCTCATAGGGCACCGTAAAAGACGGTCCACGTGAGGTACCCAATCCTGCGTCGCCACGTAGCAGGTCGCGGTGCGATCAACTGTACTTCGATCTGGCCAGAACGTTCGGGGTCCTGAGTCCCACGCTGGTGCGCTAGCCGCTAACCGACGGGGCGGACGAGGCCTACTGAGAGAGCTAGTTTTTTTAAAATATATATGGGAGAGGGGCCTACTGAGTCTATCCGCACTCGTCGACCTCTATTTTCATCTCTTAAAAGTAATATTCTATCCTAATCATCGAGATTCTCTACTCTATACCCATTTTTTCTACACCAATGTTATCTCTATTCTATACTCTATACCCACCACTCCATATTTTATTCCCTCCCTCCCCCTTTCTCTCTCTCACCACCTCTCTCTCTCCTTGCTACAGTGTTTAGTGGTGGCTGGGACAAGCGCTGGAAATAGCGCTTTCCTGTGCGGCCGGTACACTACCGCGCGCGTTGCAGACGCGCGGTGCGGGCGCATGGTACGCCACCGCTAGCGTACCGGCCGCTTTAGCGCTGCGCGGTGCGGACAGCCTGAGCTACTGAGCTACGCCAACACGTAAATCTTGCTTTTCACTTGTGAAGATGTGAAATTACATGTGTCCCTATTATCTTCTTCTCGATACACTTCTGAAACTTAAAAGAACCATCTAGAATCTTTACTGGAAGTGTAGAGTTATCTTCTTCATGATTTTCCAATTGCATGTGTATTTTTTTATTGGTGGATTTCATTATAAAGCTTATCTTCAACCTAGATTTGAATGTTTTTGAACAAGATTTAAACCACATCACGTGTTTTTTTTGGACGGCTAGAGTAGCACGCATCAGCACTTCAGCCAGGCTGTTTTTGGGACAGAATTGGGCTAATGATGTCAGGACATTTGGGCCATGGTGAACAAACTGATGGGCTAGGCGAGCAATTTGTTCAAAGTTCAATATCCTAATTCAAACTTTTAATATTGGTATCAATCATATCTGGATACTCCAAAGTCAGATATTTTTTCTTAGGTAGTGTTTGGATGTAGATATTGGGACCCTAGATTTAGTTTTGGCATTGGCTACCATGTAATCCCATTGTTTGGATGGTTCTGGAATTGGTCGGAGGAATTGGTGCCCAATATCGCGCACCTCTCCCGCACGAAGGAAAGAGGCCGCCCACGATTCCGAGGTCTCCCGCTCTGTATTCACCCGAAATCACTTCCCTTCCCTTCCCCGACCCCCACGCGTACCCCTTCACGTCCCGACTCGAAAAAAAGAAGCGCGAGCGAGCGACTCCAGAGAGAGGCGACGGCGATGGCGGAGGCGACGGAAGGTTGATCCCACTGCGGATGCGCTATCTATCGGCGAGCTCTCCCTCGCGCCCTTGTTCTCGTACATCTCCGACCAACCTCCATCGTTATCCCTCTCTACACGTCCGTCTTCTTGCTAGTCTCATCTACTTCCCCCTTCTTGCTCAAATCCTGCTCCTTCGATCTGCGCCTACCCTCGCCGATTCATCCTTGCTCCTTTTCCCAATTCCTTTTGGCATCTAGATCGATCGAGGCCTTCTTTCTTGCTCCCTCCATTGATTCACTCTTTCGAAACCCTAACCCCTTTTCTCTGTATTTTATAGGTTACTTCTGTCAAGTGTTCATTGTTCTTCAGTTCGATTGAAGGTATGTACTGTCTAGATTGATGTGGTGTTGGTGTTTCTGAATGATTTTTTTGTTTCATGTTTTGCTCTTTAAAAGTCATGTGTGTGTCTGTGTGCATTGTAGCTGCACTATGTCAGATCTTGAGTTGGTTTCCTTCATTAATGAAGAAAATAAAAGGAGAAAGAGGAGGAGGATTATTTTCACAGAACTATACTTTGAGGCAGTTGTTCTTGGGCTTGCACATCTTAGTTTGCAGCGGGGGCCAAGGGATTTAGGGTGCTTTAATGTTGATGAGCGTAGACATACTCTTAGGAAGTATTTGTTGAAGGAAATGTATGATAGTTCTAAAGTTACATGCTATGATGAGCTACGTTTAACTAAAATTCTAAAAGAAACTTTCATGATTTGTGCATCATGTTGCGTGAAAGGTGTGGTCTTCGTGAGAGTGTTTATGTCACTGTGGAAGAAAAGGTTGCTATGTTCTTGCTGGTAGTTGGGCATGTTCTAAAAATGAGGTTGTTGTGTGGCACTTATAAGCGCTCTTTAGAGACTATCATTAGGCACTTTTCTGATATGTTATCAGTTGTTCTATCTTTAAGTGGATAGTTTATTAAGCTTCCTGATCCTTCAAATCAACCTCCCGATGATTA